TTAAAGAATCATAACCACCCGCCGTACCTTGCGAACCGAAGCGCCATTTTAGGTGGACACGAAAATGGCGGATTTGTAGGATTTCTTAAAGTGAGCGCAAATCGTCTTCCGTCCTTTCAGTTTGGACAGAAATACCTTTAACTAAGTACCTCACAGGTACTATCAATCTATAATTTATTGTATGCTTGACGCATTTAAACGTATGTAAACAATAATACGAGCGCGCAAGGTACGACGGGTGGTTATGATTCTTTAATGGCCCATTTGATCTTATTTCCGTCTATGATGGATTCAAACCTAGACATTTTTAGACCTCCCAAACAATAGTCCCCAATCAGGGTTGTTGACTTAATTTTTGGCTTACGCCCATTCCATATAAAGTCCTTAATTGAAAAATCCACCTGCTTTTTAAAATCTTCATCCACTTGCAAATTGTTGCAGATATAGTAAAGTTTGGGAAGAGCCTGTGATTTTAATATTTGTATTTTTCCATATGAGGTTAAATTCCTCGAACGCCAAATAGATAGGGTAGTCTTAAAATTGGTCAATGCTTTTAGGAAATTGTTTTGATAATGTAATGTCTTGTTTTAACGTGTGAAATATACCCAGTATTTTAGTACCGTTTTCATAGAAATTTATTTTTTTCATATTCTCTAACCCAGRTATACTTGCAGCTGGATCTCCACCCAATAACCCAATTTCAGATTTGTTATAGTTTATCTTGAGAGAAGAAAACTCATAAAACACGGTCAAGATTCTCAGGACACTGTCTAATGATGACTTATTTTCTAGGAAGAACGTTGTATCGTCTACAAAAAGAATAGTTTTTATTTCTAGCCCTTCGATTGTTTAATAAGCCGTGTATGTCGGTACATGATCTAACCATGATGGCCATTATTTCTATTACTAAAATAAAAATATAGGGAGAAATAGGGTCTCCTTGTTGTGTTCCACGCCCTACTTTAAAAAAAGAAGTAACTTTGCCATTATTTATGACGCAACTCAAATTATCGCTCAATAAGATCCTGATCCATTTGATAAACATATCGCCAAATCCGAACTTTTGCAAGGTGGCAAAAATGAAGTCGTGCTCGATGCTATCAAACGCTTTTTCGAAATCCGCTGCAAAGACTTAAAACGAGCTCTTTTTTCTCGGTATTACAGTATTCTAGAACATCTTGAATTAGTCTAATTGGTTCATCAATTGTTCTTCCTTTAACGAATGCAAATTGGTCTTCGTTGATAATCTCGGGTAAAATGGTGACCAGCCTGTTACTGAGAGCTTTACTGCAGATTTTAACATCAACGTTAATTCAATGTTAATTAAGCTTATTGGTCTCCAAGAATCAATAAAACGGCTGTCCTTGCCCTGTTTTTCCAGTAACTTTATGACAATTTGATCAGTTCTGTGTATTCGATAATTTGCCTTTAATAAATCCTTCATTTAAGCTAAGTATTAAGTCTTCTTTAATATCATCCCAAAAACTCAAGTAAAACTCTTTCGAAAGGCCGTCATTCCCGGGAGTTTTTGAGTTCCCCATTTGTTTGAGAGACTCCAGGCATTCCTCTGCCCTTAATAAACCCTCACATAATAGCTTGTTTTCCTCTGATAATGAAGGAACCTCAATTTCAGAAAGAAACTCCAAACACTGTCCGAGCGTTTRACTTGATCTATTTTTAAAGATCGCACTAAAATTCTGATGAATTTTTCGGAGTATGGATTTAGGACTGATAATCTCCTCCGAATTCTCGTTAACCAATTTCTTTATATGTGTTTTTGATTTGATTTTCTTTTCAAGAGACAGAAAATATTTATTATTTTTTTCTCCGCTTTCGTACCACTTGGCTCTAGAACGTGTGATAATACCTTCCGTAATATAATTATTTAAACATTCTAGCTCTTTCATAAGTTTATCATGTTCTTCCACTGAACTTGGTTCATCTATCTAACCGTCCGTTTCTTCTATGGACTTAATCAAAGATTCTAATTCTGTATACCTTGATTTTCGTTTTCTGGCATTACGTTTAGAAAACGATATGGAAAACTTTCGTACTTCATATTTTATTAATTCCCACCTTAACTGGGGATCCGAGATACCCTCTTTGTTCATAGATATTTTAGCACGTACGTCATGGAAAAATAAATTTTCCGTAAAATTAGTCATAAACAAAATTCAAGTAATCCATGTGAAAGAGCGAGTAAAACTCTGTATCCCTGAGAATTTTTTCGCCGAAAAGAGTTTTATTTTCCAAGATATAAGCAATTTTATACGCTAATTTTTTAGAAGGAAATGTACTGGGCGAGATCATGTTTATACGCTTTCACGGCACCAACATTTTTAGAGAGTTTTAAAATCAAAGATAAAATGTCGGTACTTTCACATAATAGACGTATTAAAATCCTGTAATTCTGTGAAATTTTGAGTCGAACCGAGCTTTTGCTGCAAGTTTATAAGCAATTTTATATGCCAATCTTTACAAAGAAATGTATGGCGGCACCGTACTGGTGGACCTCTGAAGTCCACCAGAAATGGCAACATAATTTCGGGTACAAAGTAGCAAATATACCTTATTTTCATTACATTTAGCAATTCTAAATCTATATTAAAACAAAAAACTACGATTTAGAAGAAGTTTAGATGATTTCCACGGCTTTTCATGCGCGTGACCTGGCGTTGTGTGACATGACTTTGGCTACCAAATAAAACACGTTGTGCATCAAATTATTCGCATATATGTTCAAAAATTATCTCGAAACATAGTTTTCTAAACTATATTTTAGAGTAAAATCGATTTCATGGGAAATTAGGTTTAAATTAATTTTTTTTTGATCTATGACGTAACGTGCAAACGAAGAATAATTTCATTTTTAAGAAGGGAGATAAACTCCTCATCGTCTAATAAGGAATTATTAAATTTCCAGAACGACGGACCTGCACTTTCCGTCGTAAAGGATTTTAACGTAAGCGTTATCGCTGAATGGTCTGTATATGGTGCGGGCAAGATATCACATTTCTCTACAAAAGGCTGTAGGCAATCGGAAATGAGAAAAAAGTCTAAACTTCTATAAAGTATCTCACTAGAACTCCTCTTTCCTTGAGCTTTCCCTCTCCATGTAAAACGTTTAGTATACGGATTGCGGATTCTCCAAATGACACAAAGGTCATATTCTTATTAGGTGTATTGTTAACATTTGTATCCTATGTATCAATTTGATATTTTGAGGATTAAAGTCATTCATTCATATTCCGACATAATGGCCTCAATTGTCTCAATCGATTTCGTTTTAAGTACAGGGTTACCTCCGGAAGATTCAAGAGCAATATCAAAAAT